AACCTGCTGCCTAAATTCTCCTAATCTGCAACGAAATGTAAAATATGACGTTAATTTCACAAATGCTGGATCTCTTCAAGCCATGACCATGAAAAGGGGAGCTGCAAATTGTACAATATGATATCCATATAGCCTGGAGGACATTATTGTCCAAAAAAACTCCAGTGGTTATCATATATTCATACCATAACCCAATGATAATTTGTTGAGAACTTTATTCATAAGAGGGGGGGGGAAATGTATGGGCATTACAGCATAGGAAAAAAGGCCTCAATAGGGATAGGACAACCTGCTGTGTTGACTATTGGTTGTTCCAGCCCAACAATATATTTAATCTTATGACACTAAAACACCTGAATGAATTAAACACAACCAAGCAATAAAGAGCCCTGGTGGTATAGGTGACCTGAATAAGTGATATTCTAACATCAGGTGTGCTTTTCATTTGTTTATGTACTACTGTAGGTTCACCAGCTGACCTCTATCAAGACACCCATGTCGACTGGATGCCCAGTGTGAAGATGAGCAATGCCGCATCAGTTTCTACTTCTACTACTTTGTTCTTTTCCAAATATGAAAGGAGACATCCCTCAATTATACGAGAAGGTTATTATATGCTGTGGTCAATCTGAATGATTATGTTGTGTCATTTGAGTAGAGCACCATCACCGTGTCGTCATGACAAAAGTGCCCCCTTAAACAGTATGAATATATCAAATGTAATTTGGAACGTGTAAAATACTATATGATATTGTAAACATACTGTACTTTAATAATAGGCTATATTGTTGTATGGGTGAAATTAAAAGTATTGTTATCTCTGCTTTGCCTAGCCCCATTGAATAAAAAGTATTTCTTATATGCCAACTATTTTCTTTCTTTACAATTTAAACACATTTAGCACAGACAATGTAATTGTTGTGGTAGTCTTAGGAAAACTTAATTATCACAGTGGCACAGACCTTCTTGGAGAAAAGTATCTGGCATTGGACTTGGTAGTAGTAGTTGTGTGTGTGTTTTAAGATAAGGATCCAATCTCCTGCTTCCAGACATTTCAACACCTAGATTACAAGGGTTGGATTTGCACCAAAAAAATGTAATGTCAGCACAATGCATTTACAAAATCTAGTATAATGATTAGCCTCATATACATTGTCTACTGGTATCGTTTTTAAATTGAGAACATATAGTTGAACAATATGTAAACAGTGTGCGAGTTAAGCTATTCTCTACTTCAGATGCACAATGTCAAGGGGTGCATTGCAAATGCCCATAAGGCTAATGCCAGTCTACTGTAGACCGGTGGTTCCCAACTCCGGTCCTTGGGTACCCCCAAGAGTACAGTTTTATTGTAGCCCCAGACAAACACACCTGATTCAACTTGTCAACTAATCATCAGGCCCTCTGAGTTGAGTCAGGTATGTTTGTCCGGGGCTACAACAAAAATGTGTGCTGTACTCGAGGACTGGAGTTGGGAACCACTGCTGTAGGCCTATGACTGCATTGGATGACATTATCAGCTGCAAAATGGGTACACATGGCTGATATCCTGAAATAATTGTGACAATCAAATAAAACAAATTGGAAAGCTTATGACTGAACAAAAAGGTAATGTTCCTTTGAGAATACAACACAGAAACATACAAATCGGAGACATTCTCTTCCCCTCTTTATTGCAGGGTTGTGATCTGTGATTAATCAACATCTTCAATAATAGTTAAGTTAATTAAAACATGTTTAAACACTTAACAAAGAACCAACACTTTCATATCATTTCAAAGTGTACAAGTAAGCTAACTCATATGTAAAGGTAAGACATTTTAGTAACAAGTAGGCTATTATTAATAAAACAATTTCAGGTGAACAAAAAAAGTCAATACCAGAGGTGGCCAACCTTGCTCCACTGATCCCTGATCTACTGGGTGAGCAGACTTCTGTTCCAGCCCAGCAATAGCACACTTCATTATTAACTAATTAGGTTTGATACATTGAATCAGGTGTGTTAGTGCTGGGCTGGAACAGAAGTGTGCACACCCAGCAGGGTTGTCCTGCTCCAGTTGTAATAGGTTTATACATTGTGTGACTTTTGAACTGTATTTTTGTTCACAAAATATGCTATGTACGCATATAATCCATGGCATACAATAATGTACCCTTACTCTTTTGGGACCTCAATCTGCAGACAGGGTTTGACAGATCTCTGAGGACAGAAAATATCAAAGAAACAGGTTGCATTATACTAAAGTTTGATAGCCCTGAATATTATGTTGCTATATCTCTCTGTCCTCCGTTTTTATCGCTAGGGACAGGGACTAGAACTGGAGAATAGTTTCATCATGTCCTCCCACAAAGGTCCCTGCCCTATCCAGAGTAGCCTACTCTCCCTTCTCATGGCTGTTGAGCTTGCTACCTACATAGCTACAAATGCATTTAGCGTTACAACGATAAATACATCAAGATAGTTAACTAGCTACTGTGAATTTAGCAAACTGATGAGATTTAATTTACGTAGCTAGCTATACAGTATGTAAAGTTAGCTAACTAGCGAAGATTGTTAGCAGCTCATTTGATTTAACATGCACACTAAGTTTATGTAGCAAGCTAGCTAATACTACATCGTTTTTTATGACTTTCAAAATATATTTACTTACTTGAATAGGTTATCCCACTGCCTCCGTTTTCTGTTTCCGGTGGTAGCAAAACACAGCCAGCCATGTGGACTATTGTACTGGAGGACTTCACTGAGTTTGGTCTTCTGATTTGTAAACCCTAGAGTTACAGTTCATATAAGGCAATCAGTCATTTGAAATGAATTCATTAGGCCCTAATCTATGGATTTCACGAGGCATAAGTTTATCATAACAACCTGTGGAGTTAGCACTTTTTTGCAGTACCCATGTCCTTGGACGGTTCACAGATCACAAAGAAGCAGTGTAGTCTAATATTTTGAGACAAGTCCTTATCTCATCTTACCCCTTAACGTTCCACACATGAATCACAGCCTGTTATGTATAAACAATTTATATCAGTATAGTACAAACCTATGCTTATCATTAATGCATTCCTTCTAAGCTATTCATCACATACAGATCAAATTATGAGAAAACAAATCCCAACACTGGGAATACAGATGTGTCGGTCACAGATACCTTTAAAAAAAAATCGTAGGTGTGTGGATCAGAAAACCAGTCAGTATCTGGTGTGGCCACCAATTGCCTCATGCAGCGCGACACATCTTTGCTTAGTGTTGATCAGGCTGTTGATTGTGAAATGTTGCAATTTTTATAGCCTAAAAAGGGTGGCCAACCATCCTTAAAGGGGCAGTGTTGTATTTTAAGACAGTCAAAGCCTTATTCTCTGTATGGTAATAATAGGCCTAATAATGTAAAGTGGTTCCTTATGTCATACAACACAATTTTCAGTTACAGTTTTGGCCTAATATACATATATATATATATATCAACTAATAGTACAGATTCGTTTTTTACTTGTCCAAAAGCTCAAGTCACTTCTCCCCCCCCCCCCAGAAAAATGGTCCTATATATTTTTTTGTAGAGGGGACAAGTGACTTGAGCTTTTGGACAAGTAAAAAACAAATCTGTAACGTCAAGCCCTGATGGTATTACCATATAGACATGCATATTCACATGTATAGGCATACATCATTGGGTTTTACTAATATAAAACTGTGGCTTCTCATGTTGGGATGATTCGTTTCTTAATATAGCTCTGTGCATACTTTTGTTTGTAGATGCTGGAAAAGTCATCAGAAGAGAAGACTGAACCTACTGCCCTGAGATGGATGAAAACTATTGGGGTGTCTGTACAAGATACCTGTGTAATGTTGTCCCACTCCTCTTCAATGGCTGTGCGAAGTTGCTGGATATTGGCAGGAACTGGAACAAGCTGTCGTACACGTCGATCCAGAGCATCCCAAACATGCTCAATGGGTGACATGTCTGGTGTGTATGCAGGCCATGGGACAATTTCAGCTTCCAGGAATTGTGTACAGATCCTTGCGACATGGGGCCGTGCATTATCATGTTGACACATGAGGTCAGGCAGCGGAAGAATGGCACGACAATGGGCCTCAGGATCTCGTCACGGTATCTCTGTGCATTCAAATTTCTATAGATAAAATGCAATTGTGTTCGTTGTCCGTAGTTTATGCCTGCCCATATCATAACCCCACGGCCACCATGGGGCACTCTGTTCACAACGTTGACATCAGCAAACCGCTCACCCACACAACGCCATACACGCTGTCTGCCATCTGCTCTGTACAGTTGAATATGGGATTCATCCATGAAGAGCACACTTCTCCAGCGTGCCAGTGGTCATTGAAGGTGAGCGTTTACCCACTGAAGTCGGTTACGACGCCGAACTGCAGTCAGGTCAAAACCCTGGTGAGGACGACGAGCACGCAGAAGAGCTTCACTGAGACAGTTTGTGCAGAAATTATTTGGTTGTGCAAACCCACAGTTTCATCAGCTGTCCGGGTGGCTGGTCTCAGACGATCCCACAGGTGAAGAAGCCGGATGTGGAGGTCCTGGGCTGGCGTGATTACACGTGGTCTGCGGTTTTGAGGCCGGTTGGACGTACTGCCAAATTCTCTAAAATGACGTTGGAAGCGACGTGTGGTAGAGAAATTAACATTAAATTATCTGTCGTGCAGTCAGCATGCCAATTGCACGCTCCCTCAAAACTGTACATTTTAAAGTGGCCTTTTATTGTCCCCTACACAAGGTGCACCTATGTAATGATCATGTTGTTTAATCAACTTCTTGATATGCCACACCTGTCAGGTGGTTGGATTCTCTTGTTCAAAGGAGAAATGCTCACTAACTGGGATGTAAACAAATGTGTGCCCAAATGTTGAGAGAAATAAGTTTTTTGTGCGTATGGAAAATGTCTGGGATCTTTTATTTCAGCTCATGAAACATGGGACCAACACTTTACATGTTGAGTTTATATTTTTGTTTAGTGAATGTAAAGCACTTTGAGTACCTCAGTTGGTAGAAAAGGGCTATATAAATCCAATAAATTATAACACAGTCGAGGTCAACACAAACCACTTACATTATTCCCTTGTGTAGTTGGTGAGGGCTACCTCGGCTTGCTGTTCAGCCTGGCTGTCAGCTGCCCCCTTAGATTCAGATGCAACGTCCCCCTTATTTGATTTGGCTTTAGCTGGAGAGGGCTTAGCTTCTTGTGAGTCATTGCCGTCAGTTGTGGCTCCAGCTACAACTGGTTCTTGCAGTTCCTCTTCCTGGATGTCGGTATTATCATCTACCGTTAGAGGGTTGGTATCCTCTGCGTCGGAGCCACCCTCCGGCCACTCTCCGTCGGGGAAACACTCCCTCCACTCCGAGACGATCTCATCCTTGCTGTACCGCCGGTCGGCGTTCCTCAGGGTGTCCACATACACCCTGGTCGGCTCCTCCCGCGCCCTGTGTTGGGGGCTCCTCCGTTGGATGTAGGTCCTGTCCAGGTCCTGAGCCCGCTGGTTGGCTGCTGGTCCTAGTCGGCTTCTGAGCGGGGGAGGGGAGCGTTGAGGGGCATCCCCCCCTGCCAGTGGGTTGTGGTCTGTCCCTCTCAGACAGGCTTGGGGCTCGGGCTGGTCCAAGGCTGGGGGGTCCCTGGGCACTCCGACACGCAGCAGTCTGATGATGCCATGCTGGATGGCGGCCTGGGCGATGCTGTACACAAAGACCTGAGGAAGATGAGGAATATATTTACTGCTTCAGGGACAGGCAGGAAACTGGCTACGGAAACAGTTAGTATGACTGCTGTGTCAGTCAGGGTTGGGGTCAATTCCATTTCAGTACAGGAAGTAAATCTACATTCTCGTTCAAGAATTGAAAAAGGACATTTATTTTCAGAAATAATTTAACACCAATTTGCTTCCTGAATTGACAGAATTTAAATGGAATTGAACCTAGACCTTGTGACAGTGTGTTTATTTTATTGTGGTTTTCTTTGTGTGTGTCGGTGTGTCCTTACCAGGATGGAGAGCACGATGGTGAGGAGCACAGGAATTTGCAGGGTGACCGGTAGGTCCTTGAGGAGGGCTCGTAGGAACTCGCTGATCACCTGGCCAAAGAGCTTCAGAGGCTCTGTGAAGAAGGTGGTGATGGTCATAGTGATAGCCTTCAGAGACAGAGAGATAATACATTATCACACTGCATCCTACAGGTCCAGGAAAAAGGCTAAATGTTACACAGTTTAGTCGTAAACAGGGTTGGAGTCAATTTCATTTCAAGTTTTTCATAATACCCACAGGGCAATCATAGACACTGGATTAGATTGATATTGCATTGTTAAATAGACAGTATATATGTTTTGTTTGAATACAAGTGAAAAACATCGCAATATGTACATTTACATTTGGGGTTACTCAAATAGTTGTGTTAAGTGGCAAGAGTAAGGTACGGGTGACTATCTTTCGGTCCTGGCCTGTAGAATAGGTTAGCTGTCAACAGGGTTGGGGTCAATTCCATTTCAATGCAGTCATTTCCGGAAATAGACTGAAAACTGGAAGTGGATTGTCAGTTTCCTTCCTGAATTGACTGAATGGAAATTGACTTTCCCTGGTCGCCAAAAATAGGTTACCTTAGTTGGTGGTACGAGAAGGATGGGGTTGACCATGAGGACTTCGTAGTACATCCTACAGGGATCGTCTTGGAGAGTCATGGCACCTCTGTACCAATCTGGGGTACAGGCAGGGAGGAGTACACAACAGAAGGCTTCACGACAACATAAACCGATGTGCATTCTACAGTAAACTTACTGCAACAAAACTGTCAAAATGTGAAAGCCCATGTAACGGCATTACATTATTTGCCAGAAAAGAGGAGTGAGAAGTATTGTGTATATTTTATTGTATCATCATGCACCAATGATTATGAAAGAATGACGCATTCAATTAAAAGTACTTTCACATATTTTTGAGATGAGGAAAATCTGATACCCCTGTAGAAAGATATGTGATGCCAAGCTAAGGTGTTATTTTTCCATTACCTCACCCTTCAAGTTATCCCACCAGTCGATTTTCTTCCTCCCTGTGCATTTTGCATCGATGCCCTCCATCTTCACCATTTTGTTTTGATGCTCGGCAAAGGCAATCTGACAGGTTGAGAAAATCCAATAACAGATATGGTGAATTAACATTGTGTCATTTGTTTGCTTGAGGCTGGTCTAGCGGTAGTGCTGCCAACCCCGGGACCACACGCACACAGTTAGAACCCCAGTACTATTACTGCTTTTATCCCTCATCTATCTCCCAATCCCACACAAAACATTACCTGTCATAGTCTAGCTCTCCTGGTAAGACTTAGTTTTTCTCAAGACATTCCTTGGTGATATTCCTTAATGTAGTTGGCTTTGAGTTTTAAAGAATAGAGATGGCATATAAGAAATACCTTAAATAGCTAAGTTCTACTTCCTTACTTGCTTATAAACCCTCCAAAAACATTATTTGCAGAGACCTGAAATATTGTTGTAGTGTTTAGCCTAAATGTTTTGCCTAAGAGAACAAGAACTAAACCCTACACTGAAGGTTGCCAGAATGGCCACTCTGGCAGTAAAGAAGGAACTTTGTCCCTTTGCACCTATTCTTTCAGATAATTATATTAAATTTACTACTAAACATAGAGCACCAGACAGGCAGTAGGGGGTAATTAGCATGTGGAAATGTTACGAAATGCATGGAAGTGTGTATATTGGTAATTTACCTTGTAGAGATAGAACCAATTCCAGACCAGACTGATGAGAAAGCAGATGGCAAAGATTCGCTTGAACTGGACAAACCAGGAGACTGTAGACCACAGCTCACTGCAGATTATGACCACTATGATTAAGACAACTACAGACACCTGGAAGAGAGAGAAGGTCCTTTAAATAATTTTAATGGCAATGAGAAATATTCCTGGCGCTGTAATGCCAATGAGTGGTTTCAGTTCTGTCTTGTTTTTGTTGTCTTGAGTGTAAATGACTGTTCTCTAAATCAGATTGGCTTAGTTATATTGATGATGAACACGGAAATGTGCCATTTAGCTTTATGCGCTTCTCAATCAGTCAGTGTGTACCCGAGTCAAAGGAGTAGATCAAGCAAAGATCACACAGGCCAGCCAGCGCAGTATTTAAAGTTTTGTTTTTATGTCTTGTTGCTTTTGTATAGGCTAGTGTGAACCGTGTGTTCATGTATGAATGACAAAACGCGTTTCCTCACGGTACAAGAAAAGTTATTTGAATTTCATCCTCACTGCCCGTGTAGCCTACTTTACAAAACCGTCTAATCATAAATTCCTTAGGCAAACCACATTATAAAACATGTGGTGGTAAATCCATTTAGTTTTGAGCATCAAAACCCTGGCAATGCTACGCATTCTAACCTTCATGACCGTGTCAATCTCCACACCAAAGGTGTCCTCAAAGTGCCATCTCCAGGCCTCGCAGTCATGTGGTTTGAGATCCACCAGGATCTGGCTGAGGGCATCGTCCAGAGCCCCCATTCTCCAGCTGTCTGTTCCCTCCAGAAGCTTCTGGATCTCCGCCACCGCTTGCCGAGACAGTCTCACTTTGGCGTCATAGTGGATATCGTTCTTGAGATCACTGGGCTGGTGGTTGGAAAGGTATAGAATAGTACAACAAAGTATATGCACTTGGCATATAGACAGCATACTACATTCCAAGGTGGTAACATACATTTACAAGGTGGATAAGATACAGTGAGGAAGTGTTTTACATAAAGAGAATCAGTGCATCGATTTACAGCATACCAGGCTAACTTTTTCTATCTCCTTCAGAAGTTTGGTGAGGAATCGTTTGAACACTGGGTTGCATGACGGCTGCTGTGCAACCCGTGTAATCTTCTTCTTATACTCTTCAATCTAAAAAAAAAAATTAAGGAAAGTGACAGATGATCACACAATTATTCGCCACTGTTTCATAAACATGCATTTGAAAAAATGTGTGACGTTAAAAATCCGTTTCCAACACTAACCTCTCTTTTTAACCTTTCCACTTTGCTGTTGCACTCCGTTAAGTCCACTTGATCTGAGTCCTGGATGTATTCCCTTCTTTTGGTTGGAACATTTGGGTAATTACTCTGCTGTGAAGATGACTTTCATTTAGTTTTCCGATTACATTAATATCACGACACAAGACAGTATTCGTAATGCTTGATGTATTTTCGTACTTAATGATTTGGTTTCATATACTGTAATATGAAACATGACAAAGAAAAACAACAACAAAGCTATATAATTATTTCAACTGATGGCACTGAGTCATGGCACGGAAAGACGCATTACACAGCTGCTTGTACTGTACCTCGGCAGGCTTTCTCATGGACTTTATGCTTGGATCGTAGTTCAACATATCATACGGATCAATCCATTCGTCATCGTCCATCTGCCCTTGGGCAACCAGCAGCAGGCTGCATACAGCAACAGTGATGGTATGCATCCTGACAGCACTTGTTGACATCTTCATGTTAAGATGGCTAACGTTAGCTGGCTACTCTGGCTAACAAGCTACAGAGAACTCGGGGTTCATAAGCCAGAAACAGACATCCTCAATAAACCCTACAGAGCAATAACGTTAATGACAACATAGCAGCACATTTTCCTCGAGCTGAGCCGGTGTGATGAGATAACTCGATCGGTTGGAATTCGAAGATACGATCGCTTCTTTCCGAGTGCGCTCCGTAAGCCACGCCCCAGTAGGAAGAGCTAGGCATGGGACACATTTTAATATGATAAAAAAGCCTCTCATTTACAGTGGGTCTGCCTGCCATGGTTCTGTGTAGCCTAGTTATGCTAATATATTTGAGACCAGTCTATTGCAGTTAATTTCGTCTTTGACTTAATAAGTAAAATATATTTGAGTAGTAAACAGGGAAACAATGAGTCCCAGACAGTTCGTAATAGAACATACCAGAGGGGGCATCGTTTACTAGGCTACCTAAATTATTGGGATCATCTGGGGCCTGTTGCACAAAAGTAGAATTAAGACATCCGGGATAAATGACTCGGCTGAGCTCAATGAAGCCAAAACATGTGCGTCCAGGCTTAATTGGTTGCACAAAGACCAAGCCAGGATGAGCAGACACGGATTCATTAAGCCAGGTGAAACCAATCCTGGATAGGTGCGCGCTCACGGCTCACTCAAATAGACCCCGCCACAGATCACAGATTAACTGATTTACCATGGCAACTAGAGCCGCGTACTTTTCCCCGTCGGAAGCACAAATCCTCATGGAGGCATACGAGGAGGTAAAAGATATAATTAAGAAGAAAGGCAACACCGCCACAGTGATAAAGCAAAGAGAAAAAGCGTGGCAAAGTATTGCAGACCGCCTGAATGCGTAAGTAGTGCACAATTACACACTCACCGCTCCGCTGAAACATCACAATTACAATTCAAATATTTAATTCACATCTCCAAAAATGCAGTTGTACTGTAATTATGAAACGGTTAAATTTTTAATTGAAATGCACTGCAGATATGAGTGAAATTGTGTAAAGTAACTCCATCACACTGTATAAAGCTATGATAAATTTTTTGATATTTTTACTGAAAACAAGACAAAAATACCAATTAATTTTTTGCAGTGTGACTCCATTAAATGTGTGTGTGTGTGTGTGTGTGTGTGTGTAGATTAAACATGAACGGGCCAAAACGGACATGGCAGCAGGTCAAAATCAAATACAAGAACATTCTGCAGAATGGTATGGTCCCTGACTAATATTTAACAAAGCACAAGCATATATTGTACCCAGAAGGTGCCTGCTCACACATTGTCTGTACTGTTTTAGCAGTGAAAAAGAATACCCACAGACAAGGCACGGGTGGTGGGTCACCAAAGGCTGACCTTACCCCAGCAGAGGACATGGCCTTGGAGCTAAATAAAGGCAGGCCCGTCTTAGAGGGGATCCCTGGGGGGAAAGAGACGAGCATAGGTTCCTCCCAAGATGCCACCCGCTTCATTCAAGGTATGTCCTTCCATCTCTACATGGGATACAACCACATTCATATTGAATCAATTTGGACTGTCTGACTTTGGTTTACCTATTGCCTTGCAGTGTCTGGCAGCACTGTGTTCCTGTTAGAGCCACCAGCACAAGCACCAGACGATGCTGATCCAGTGAGTACTCCATCAAAGGCATACTGTAGGCCTGGCATGTCTTGTCTACTAGCTTCAATATGAATCCGATTAAATGTGATAGGGTGAAGGCCCCAGTGCAGCAGCAACAGCACATGATGGAGACGATGATGAGGAGGAGACCATCTCTCTGGATTCCAGAAGGCATGAGGTATCATGTTAAGACTGTGAAAGTACTATTTACTCTACAATGGTGAGGAGTCCTCATCAAAATCAAAAAATCTAATTTCTTTTACAGGACCCAGATGCTATACAGTGGGAAAACCAGCCTGGCAACATAGTGCGTATTAATAAAAGGACACCACATCCTGCCAAATTCCAGCTGCGCTAATTGTATTGTGTTCACAGAGCTCACAAGCTATCAGAAAGTTGTATGGCAACCACCTCCGGCGCCAAATAGAACTGGCAGACATAGACATTCAGTACAAGAAGAAAAAGATGGAAAATCTTGCACTGGAGTCCGAAATAAAAAAGAGGACAATTAGGAAACTGGACCTTGAAATAAAAAAACTTGAGAGGGAGGTGAGATATGCCTTCAATGTACACTGTATGCTAACTGTAACACAAATGTATTAATCATTATTTTTCTTTCCTCCCCCAGCTCCAAGAAGATGACACAGCTCAAAATAAAAATTAGGTATATTCTCGTAAAGTCAAGTGAGCCATGACATATGAGCTCTTATTGTGAGCACACAGGACGGTGGCATCTTTCTAAGGTTTTTTTTATTTTCCCAGCAATCAGTACAACCAAGTCATCGTTATAAGGCATCGCCCTCTTTTGCCCACCCCCCCAGCACCAGGTGTGGCCACTAGCCTATATGAAGGCCCAAAATTGTGTGTTCCTTTCTGCTCTGACAATGGCATGCCCATTCGTGCGAGATGTGGTGGATGAAGAAGCACTTGTGCTGAGGAGAGCCTTCAGGCGAGAAAGGGTCTTCAGGGACCGGTTGGACCCACTGGCCTTCCCTGATGACCATCTATATGAAAGATACAGGTTTTCTGCAGATGGCATCAGGTATCTATGCAGACTACTGGGTCCCAGGATTAAGCACCGCACTGCACGGAGCCATGCACTGAGTGTGGAGCAAATGGTTTGTGTGGCCTTGCGCTTTTTTGCTAGTGGAGCCTTCCTGTACTCAGTGGGGGATGCAGAACAGCTGAACAAGGCCACAATTTGCCGCACAATAAGGAGTGTGTGTCTGGCTATCAAAGCATTAGCAGATGTCTTCATCTCCTTCCCTGGCCACAGAAGACTCTGTGACATCAAAGAGGAGTTCTATAGGATTGCAGGTAAGAGGATCTACAAATTACAGGACAACTGTTAACACATAGTAGGATACTCATTACTTTGTGTGACAGGTTTCCCCAATGTCATTGGTGCAGTGGACTGCACACACATAAGGATAAAAGCCCCCTCAGGTGCCCATGAAGCCGATTTTGTGAATAGGAAATCCTTTCACAGCATTAATGTTCAGGTGAACATAACTTTTTGATATTGTCCATTGACGAACACTCTGCATTGCCAGTGATGTGCATTGATTGGTGTAATATTCCTCATCTTATGATTTCAGATGGTCTGCAATGCTGACTGTGATCAGCAATGTTGTGGCAAAATGGCCTGGCTCAGTCCATGACTCCAGAATCTTTCGGGCCTCTGAAATCTATCAGTGCCTATCACAAGGTAAGCCACACAACCCCTATTTATAACCATCATGGCTGTGTCAAGAATATCACTGTGTTTATGAGGTAGTAATGATGAGATTTTGTGTTGACAGGTGAATTCTCTGGTGTGTTGCTGGGAGACAGGGGGTATGGCTGCCAGCCTTTTCTCCTGACACCTTTCACAGACCCCCAGGAAGCACAGCAGGCCTACAACCATGCCCATGCCAGGACCAGGGCCAGAGTTGAAATGACCTTTGGCCTCCTGAAGGCACGCTTTCACTGCCTTCACAAATTAAGGGTCAGCCCTGTTAGGGCATGTGATATTACTGTGGCTTGTGCTGTCCTCCACAATGTGGCCTGCCTGAGGAAGGAGAGGGACCCCAGAGTGCCACCAGCCATGGACTGGGACAATCCGGCAATCTTCCCTGATGACGACAGTGGTCGGCTGCTGAGGGACCAATATGTGTTGAATTATTTTAGTTAGTATGTGTGCTTTCAATTTTGGTTAAATATGTCCTGCGGTGGCAGAGGAATTTGGGTTTTTTTGGGTTCGTTTTTTTACGAATTTGGCCTCTTATGATGTTTGTGCGGTATACTGTGTGTAATACAAGGCTGCAGGGAGGCTACTGCATCCATTCATTTGTCTGTTCAGTTGATGTGTATGGATTTGTCCTGCATTTATTTTAGTGTGCAGACATGCAGGGTGTGTTATATACAGACCTTTGAATGTGTATGTATCATTTTGTATAATATGCTTGGATTCTGTGCTTTCCATCTTGTAGAGTCACTGTGACTTCAGTTTCGAAAGGAGCTGATGGTTTACCTGCTTTGTTTTGTCCTTATTCAATAAAGGAACATAATGTTACACATTGTGTTTTTATATTCATATGGAATGTGTATTTGTTTATATGACAGAGTACTAGGGCCACACTGAAGAAAAAGGATAAAGTCATAAATTTATGAGGCTGGTTCTCTCTGCAGAAAAGCTACATATTGTTTTTACAGTTTTGATACTTATGACAATGTGATACTTCATATTCAGGCACATCAGCATGTCTTTGTTTATGAAACCATACTGAAGTACAATTTCACAATGCCCCACATCTGTCATTTTAACAACTGTCCTCCTTTAAAACAACTGGTTACAATATTATGACTTGTGTTTTTTTCCCCTCTGTGGCCCTAATATTCTATCATTTTATATATAGCCTTATAGTCTATGGGAAACTGTAAATTATCTAATGATAGCAACATCATCTAAAAATCATTTTTTATCCAAAATCATTGAAATTAATGATCACAAACGTTTAAATAATGACAGTGGGTCTAGTTATATGTGATAACAATGTATAGTGAGCAGTGAAATAACTATTGGTTTCCATTTGTGGTGACTGCTGACTGACAGTAGGGATGAGATTAAATAGATCCTGGAATTTAGCCTGGTCTGGAGCAGGCTAGCTCCACAGAATAAATCTCCATGGTAATTTATACCATAACATATCCTCCTGCCCCCTATCCATCTTTAGTGCAACCGGATTACGGATCAATTGAGCCAGGATCACCAAGATATCCTGGCTTAATCCCTTATCCTAGTTTTGTGCAACAGGCCCCTGGATTATTAGGATTTTCTTGTGATCACAACAAAACTACTTATTTTACTCAAATA